GGAGAAGGCAGTGGCAGCTCTGCAGCATGAGGCCAAAGAAGTGGATGGAGAATTCCAGAGCAAGGTTTCAGAAGCTGAGGCAGATGCTGCCATGATACAGGAGGTGGGTCCCTGGCTCCCATAGTGTGCATGCTTCTCTGTTGAATTTTGGGCAAAAGTTTGCCTTACAGCTTCTGTCTTTCTTTCCCCAGACTACCAAGGAAGCTCAAGATGTCCATACCAAGGCTGGCCAGGCTGGGGTGGTGGTGCAGGAGACATTGGGTGTCCTAGAGGGGCTGCTGCGTCTGATGAGTAGGTTTTATCATGTTGCTGTGGTGTGCAGCTGAAATCTGGGTACTGCTGGGCTCTGGGTGGGGGTACTCAGTATTTCTTGGGAAAATGACACCTGTGGATGGAGCTGAAGTAGCTGGGAGGATTTAGTTTTCAGGCTCCACTCAAGGTTCTCTCTTCCTTGTTTTCCTCCTGTGCTACAGACCAGCCTGGTGCTGTGGATGAAGAGGGCCTGAAACAGCTCGAGTTGAATTTCAGCAAAGCCAAAACCAAAACCAACCAGCTGAAGGAACAGATGTCAGAACTTGAGCAGAGAGCCACTCTACAGAAGGTTCGGGTACAGAAACTGGACAGCAGCATCGATGAGATCCTGGCAGACATTAGGAACCTGGAGGATATCCAGAGGAGCCTTCCTCCTGGCTGCTACAACACAAAAGCCATCGAATTACCCTGAGGCAGCAATGGGAGGCTGCAGCCCATGTCAGTTCACAGCAGAAGAGCCAGGCCCCTCTGCTCCCACAAAACCTGGCAGGAGAAGCTGAGCTTGGTTCTGTTGGACTTATCTTTACTCACAGGCTCAGGGTAGTGCCTGCAGTTCACGAATGCTGCAGCTGAAGTTCACATCACACTGGACCTGGAGAGTCTCTGATTTTCAAAACGATCCGTCCCTCAATTTCAAGAGGAAGATGCCCACTTGTGGGCTGGGATTTGCTGGTACCATTTTGGATGTGGCTTAGGGGTTCAGCAGCAGCAGGTGCCACTGATGACCCTTTTCATAAAGCTGCAGGTTTTCCACCAGGTTCCTCAGGCAGGTGGTTTTTATTTTGCCCAGCCCTGAAGGGATGGTTTCCCACCAAAGGTCTTTCTGGGCGAACACAGGTTTCCCTAGCATCCTCTCTCTCTCACAGACACACAGACACAACCTTTTCTTTCAAGACTGGTTGCTTTGGTTCCTGGCAGCTTCCTGGGTGTCCCAGAGCTCAGGGAGAGCAAGGTCATGTTTGCTCTGTGCAAGCATTTGGGATGACTCTCATCCCAGGCACAGGAGCTTTCTGTGGGGGACTGCAGCCAAGCGTTGGTATCTGAGAGCCAGAGCCCATTCCCATCCTTGCTGCAGTGCCAGCATCCTAATTTGACCTGGTGAAGGATACTGAAGATGTCTCAAATGTTTCTCCACCTCTGGTTCGGTGCTGCCCATTCCCTCCCATCCTACATGTATGGTGCTGGATGTTCCCAAAGCACACTAGATGTGACTCATTGTGCATGAGGTTTTTCTACTGTAAATCTTTCCTGGAAGAACTGAAGACAATGGTGCTCCCTACACCCACCCACTGCTTTCCTGTGGACCCACCTTTAGTTTGACACCATTTCCAGCTTTATTCTGATACTTTTTCAGGGGAAAAAGAAAGCCCAAAGCTCTCTGATGCTCAAAACCAGCCCTGCTGAAGTGCTCTGACCATGGAGTGGGTGCTGGGCAGAGGGGAACGCTCTGAGGACTGAACACCAAATCTTGTTAACACTGCTTCTCTGGTAAAGGAGTGCCTGTGCTTTTGCATGGTTGAGGGTTTTCTGAGTAACTGTATTATATTTGTATTTAAGTGAGATATGCTCTTACCTCTGGCACGTTTTCTTTCTCTCCCCTACGCCATAGGACAGGTATTACAGATCTGACGTTATTCCTCTAGGAGTTGGGTTTTTGGAAGGGAGGAGACCAATAAATACGGAATGCTTTTGGTAAGCTCTTGCCTGCTGGTTCAATTCCAGCGCCGTGTTTTGGGTAAGCTTGGCCATGAGTTCTCCCAGCAGTTTGTGCTCCTCAGGCTGACTCCACCTGGAGCTGGTTTGGGTTTGAAATGGCACAGCAGCAGGGAAAGATGACACCAGTAGCATCTTGGGTTTTTTTCCTTTTGTTTTGTTTATTACATAATTTAAACATTTTGCTGATAAAGTTTTTTTTCTTTTGTCAATGACCATTTTCTTTATATAGCAACAGAAGAAAAAAAAAATTTAGGCTCCAAAACCTTTCACAAAAGTGAAATTGGTGGCATGGCAACTTCAACCCTTCCCCCCGCCCCCATTTTTTGTTTTCCAAAAGACATTTGAAGTTCATTTCTCTTTCAGCAAATCCCACTGTTTAAAATCGGAGGTTCAAAGACCCACACCCAGGAGCTGCCTCCCACCCAGCAGTGCTGGAAAGCCCCTTCCTCTCCTCCCCGCCATCTGCATGGATCTCAAGGGATGAGTTTTTCCACACCCACCCGTAGATGTTTTCCAAACCAATCCCAGCGTTGACTGACCTGTAACAAACCCCCCTCCCACCCCATCCTTGCCCCGTTCTGTGAGTTTTACTGAGCAGATACATGAAGGCATAGATAAGACTAGTAAGACAGAATATACTCATCATCCCTATCACAACGCTATGTCTCTAAGGCATGCCATCCTAACCACGATGAGATGGAAAGCCAGCTGGCTTCCTGCACGTCCCATCTCGTGTACCTGAGGGAGGGAGAAGGGGATCTGAGCTTGCTCTCAGGCTTGCCGCCCTCGCTCCTTCTTTGTCTCCTCTTTTGTTATTCCATTGTCTTTTCCTCTCTTCAAAGCCACCATCCTTCCTTCCTCTTCAGCTTCTTCATCTCTCCCAGAGGTTCCAATCCCTTTGTGTGTGTGTATTGGAGGCTGGTTTCTAACACTGCTGCTTCTCCTTCAGCTTGGAGCTAAGAAACGTGGGTGATGTCTGAGGATGTTTTCAGGAATAACCCCTGCGTTGGGGTGGAGAGGAAAAACAGGCTGAAAACCTGAATACATGGGACAGTGGAGGCAATGGGTTTAGAGGAGTCTAGCTATCAGCTTATGTAAGTTGGGTGCTCGTGGATGAGATGCCCAGCTAGAACGTATCGAAGCATTAGCTTTGGGGCTCAGCAGGATGGGGACTCATCCCTGGAGGCGTTCCTACATGCTCTGGCCGCCCTCCCTGGTCTGGGATCTCCGTGCCCCCTCAGCCTTCAAGGTATGTAAACAACTGCCTGGAAATAGCATGGCTGGATCTGAAGGATTCAGCATGTTTGCTGCAAAGACCCTGTATGTGCAGACTGTGTCGTTTCACCCAGCGTTTTTGCGGTTAGGGAGGTGACAGCTGCCTTCTCTGAAGGGGGCTGTGGCACACTTCCAACAGGGAGGACAGCAGTGCCCAGCAGGTCACCAACCATAGTACAAAGTCTCATCTTTGAAGCTTCCAAAGAGCAACTTACGACTTCTTGTAGGTGTGGGGAAAAAAAAAAGTTAGCTCTTTCTTTCCCCAAAATATCTTGGAGTAGTCTCAGCCTCCGTGTGTGCTGATACCACTCTGTCCCTTGCTGGGGATAAACAAAGTGCCCTAGAATTCCCTAAATCTCACCAGCCCAGGTCTGCAGGGAATGGGCAGATGTCCAGGAGCAATAGACTCTAGAAATGTGAAGCTGGAAGGAGCAAAGGCAGGGATAAAGGTGTGAAGGAAAGCAAGACTTGTACCCTCCTCCCTGTGGCTGCCAGCTTACAAGAGGCTGAGCCACCAGCAGGATCCTTGCACCCTGGGATACCCAGCAGGACAGCAGCTTGCTTAAGTAACCCTTATCTGTGCAGGGCTCAAATTACTCCCTTTTGCTCCATGCTACATGCCTTATTTTTTGGCATCTGGCTGAGCAGCTTCTGCCAGGCTTGTCACAGGCAGGAAGGCAGGAAACTGGCTTGTCCCAAGGGATGTATGAAGTATCTGAAGCCAGTTTGGAAGGGTGAATATATCATGCATAAACTTTTCAAAGACAGGAAGAGGAAAGGAGAGAAAGGAAAAATGGGAATTTGACAGCCAGCATTGGAGAGCTGGAGGCTTGAGGATGAGGACGGGCCCAGCCCTAAACAGCTGAGCCAGGCCTGGAGCAATTCTCATCAGTGGCGCCAGGCCACCTCTTCCCCTCTTCTTCCTTCCTTGCTTCTTGGTGTTGTAAATGGCGGATCCCTTTCCAGGGGCTGAAGGCTGCCTCTTCTGACATGGGGCTGGAGTATAGCATCTATCCTTGGCTTTGGAGTGGGCTGAGTTCGCTTGCAGACAAGGAGAAGTGAGATGTGACATTCCCCTGATAAGTTATGCTTTGGCAGCACTGCTTGCCCCTTCAGAAATACCATCTTCATGACCTGTCAGAGCCAAGTGGAGGATTTCGGTGGCTGGGGTGTCCTTACTGCTGGCCTGAGGAGGTTCTGCGGGGCACAGAACCACTTGCATTATGCCTGCCCATTGCCCACCAGGATTACATGGGAAGCAGGGCACTGTGGCAAGAGAGCTAAGGAGCTTGCACTACAACTATTTAATTAAAAAAAAAGAAAAAAAAGAAAAAGAAAGAAAAATATTCACTTAGATTTGTTGAGCAAAGAGGAAGCTCCTGCTCTGAGCATGCTGGGAGGACGGACCGGGGGGACCATTTCCCAGTGACATGCTGGGAGGGGGGATGGAGCTGTCCCTCAGTGAGCACACTGAGAACATCTCTGCCCCCCTCCCTCCCCGTATACAATGGGGAGGACAGTTCCCATAAGAAAAAGAGACCAAACCATTCCCCGTGGGGCCGTGCCGCCAGTCCCTGGATGTTGCTGCACTACGGAGCATCGGCGCCGAGAGTGAGAGGCCATGGGGTGGGGAGAGAGATGGAGACACAGAAAGAGAGAGAAAAGTGTGATGGAGAGCTGTAGAGACGTGGGACGACAGGGCTGTTCTGCTGCAGGGCCTCTGGCACTTAGCCGGAGGTGTTGATGTAGAGCTGGCTCTTGAGGATGTAGTCGATGACAGGCTGGCAGAGGTAATCCACAACGTGTCCATCCCCGTGCTGCAGGGCCAGTCTAGGGGAGCAGGGGAAGAGGAGTGTCAGAGCCTACGTGGGGCCCCTTTCCAGGAATTTGGGCTTCCTGAGCAGGGGCTGGGAACACGGTGGTGTCCCCGTGAATGGAGGGGTTGGCTGGGAGCACCCTCAGCATCACCCACCTGCTTTTGGTGGAGCTCACGACCGACATGGGGTGGTTCGAGTCGTCCTTCACCACCAGGATGTTGTTCTGTGGGTGGAGAAAGAAGAGGTGAGGGAAGGGAGGGATGAAAATCAGTGTTTGCCCCACCCGTGTCTGATTGGCCATGCAGGTCTGCTACTTGGTGGCCACATAAGTGATCCCAGTCAGCAGCTGAGGCAAAACCAAGGGGGGGAACTCTCCAGGACCCATGTGCAGTGTGATCGTGGTAGAGCTTGGGGGGCACTTCAAAGCTCTCGAGAAGGTTTAATCTCATGGAAAGTGTGTAGCAAAGAGCGAGGGAGTGCAACAAAGACAGCATGCAGTCTGGAGAGCAAGATTATGAGGAGCAGCTGATGTGCTGTGGCTTGCTCAGCCCAGAGCAGGACAGAAGGACAGGGACAGGGCCTGTGGGAGCAGCGTGGAAGGGGGGAGGGTCAGGAGTAGGGAAAGGGTCTGCTCTGTGGGGCAGCAGGTGTAGCCCTGAGCTGTCAGAGCTCAAGGAGTGCTGGGACGCTGCTCTCAGCCACAGGGGTTGGGCTCAGTGTTCCCTGTTGGGTCCCTTCTAACTGAGGATATTCCATGATTCTCTGGCTCCCTGACTATGTATGAATCCACTTACTTTGTACTTGCGGAGTATTGAGGAGTGGTTCATGATCCGATCAGGGTCTGCTCCATCCCGGGGCACCACCACGATCCCAAACTCCCCAACAATCACCTCCATCTAGATAGAATCAACGCAAAGAGAGTTTTCACGACCTGCCAGTGCAAAATCTGCCACAGCCTTCCAACCCCCACCCCGAGCAGATGTGCACCCTGCAAGTACTTGGCAAAACCTGGATAGGGGTTAACCTCAGATTTTCTCTTTCTGGACAGCTTTTGGGAAAAAACTTGGATTTATTAAGGAGTGATGCTGGTGACACGCAGAGTGATCTGTGGCGGATGAAATAAAAAGGAACAGGGTTAAACTCTGTTAATGAATGTTGAAGTTAGGCTTCAGGGAGAACTTGTCATGGTAGTAAGGACAGCAGCAGATGTTGCCTGAGGATGACATGAACTCTGCCTCACTGGAGATTGGAGAGGAGGAAGCAGCAGCTGCACTGCTGCATGTTGTCTTTACAGCCCCTCATCCCTGGATTTCTTTGTGTTGATGTTATTATTTATTAGTGTCTCGGAGATGGTACTCTGGAGCAGATCACCAGGACAAACTCTCCTCAGGATGGAAAGGAAGAGGATTCTTGGGGTGGTGCATGGATCCCAGCACCATCCTGCATATTGGGAGTAGATTGCTCCCATTGCTGTGGAGGGATGGTGACTTCTCCAGTGTTAATTGAAGCATTTTTAATCTGTAGTAGTGTTTGAGATAGGCTCATCACAGTGCACTGAACTGTGCCTGAATTCTAGTGGGATGCTGTAGAAGCACCAGCATCAAAGCCAAATACAGAACTAAACCATCTATGTAGAGATAATTTGCCATCTGCAGGTTGGATCTGCCTTTGCAAGGGGGAGGAAAAGCGACTTCTCCATTGCTTTTCATGTGTTTTGCCATGTGGTTGTGGTCTTGACTGCTCTCAAAATCTCACCACAGTCGTTACTGCATATTGCTTGCCCACGTGAGATGGTATCAGGCAATGTCTGGCTGAGGGTAGACATCATTTTTCTTCTCAGTTTTCTCTTTTCTTCTTTGTTATTATTTTACTTATTTTCTTCCTTTATTATTATTATTTACTCTTCTTCTGTTAGGTGCAAGCTGCTGGTATGATTTTAAGGGTCTTTCATTTCTATCATAAGGGCAACACTTCTCTTACATCAGCTTTTTTGTAAACCAGGGGTGCAGAAGCCCCTGTTGTTTGCGCACCAGAGACAAGTGATGGGGGTGGGGGGAAAAGCAGGAGATGGTGGAGGAGGAGGGATGGAGCCCGGGAAAGGGAAGAAAGAGGCCCTGGCAGTGACTCACATCAGACTCGTTCCAGAGGCCAGGGATGCAGAAGGATTCCAGCAGGTCACTACCACAGAGCAGGAGGATGCGCAGTTCTGAAGGAAGGAAGCAGAAATGCTCAGAGATGGGAGAGAGCAGGGCTGAGTACACCTCTCCCCCTCCTTTCTTACCATCCCATTGCTCTGCTCAAGGGTGTTCTCTTTCACTAAAACACCATCTTTTGCCAAAATGAATCCTGCTAAAGAGGCTACAGTCCTTGCATCCCTGATGATACCGAACAGAAAGACAACCCTGAACTATCCTGTGCACTATTTCTGCTTCTCTCCTGCACTGCTGGGTCATTTCCAGCATTGCTGTGGGCTGCTGAGACACCTAGATGTGCCCCAAATGCGTGGTATCCCTCGGAGTCAGGAGGCATTTCTGTATTTTCAGACACATATAAGTGCTTTGTGGCCTGTTGAAGGGTCTTGATCTGCAGATATGTGTGGAGCTGCACTGAGCATTTGGCATGGCTTGATTTTTCTACAGCAAAGCTGAGCAGTGCAACTGCATGATGAAGCACTGGAGCTTTTAGGATTTATTTGTTGGTTTGGAAATCCAAAAGAGGAAAGCTACAAAACTGCTCAAGTAAGGAGGGGTGGTCAGACAAGATGTCAAGCAGTTCAGTGCTGCCTGGCACCAGGGGTGGTGATGGTTCAGCATCCCTTACTTGCCACCAGATTTCTGGTGGTGCTGATGGTGGTGGGGGCTGCATACTCACCAATCTCCTCGTATCTCATCACAGTCCCCAGGTTGGCATTTTCATCTGGGAGGGAAGAATAGAGTTACTGACACTTGTCAGGGGGTGCTGGGGAGGCAGGTGGGGCTGTGGGTGATGCTGTACTCCTGTACCTACCCACAAAGGTGAAGCGCTCCATGGGTGGGCGAACGCAGCAGATCCGACTCAGGCTTTCTCCTACCTTCCCCAGGATCTTTGCTGAAGGCAGAGAAGAAAAGTAAGTTAAGGAGAGGCTTCATCCATGGCTGATTGCCCTCACGGAGCATGGGATTCTCCCATGCATGGGGACAGCAATTCCCACGTCTCCTCTGGCAGATGACTCAGCCTTCATATAACCAAATATCCCTCAGGCACTATGAGCCTGCTGAGAGACCTCACCCAGGTCAGCTGAAAAATAAAATGATTGTTTTTTTCAGCTGGAGCAGAAAAGAACAGAAATACACCGCCAGGAGTGTGGAGGGAGCTAGACTGGTGTTCATTAGGAGCATGGAGACAGGTCAGCTTAACACAGAGTTATAGAAATCTTTCGTCAAGTTTGGGACCAACCAAAAATTAATCTGAGTCATGAGGCAGGTTGGGGATCCTTAGGCTGCAAGGAGCACAAGCACACTGCTATTCCCCAACCCCAGTGGTGCCAGCAAGCTAGAAAACTGGGAAGAGGGAATGGGAACAGTTCTCCACCATTAGAGTTGAAAGAGGACTTGGAGGAGCTCAGAAGCATTCCTGAGCAAGTGTTTGGTACCTCATGATGGGGTGTGAGGAACAGGTGGCCAGTTCCTCCCCTTCCTCCGCAGAGCCACCTACCTGCGGTGGGCTTGTTGGACACGTTGTTGTTCTGGTAGATAGGCTGCGTAGACTCATTCTGGGGCTGTCCGATCACAGGGGTAATGGAGGGAGTGTTGACATTGGAGAGGATGCAGCCGGTCACCCTCTGCAGCAAGAGAGAAATTTAGTGGTAAAGATGGCTTCCCCAAGGCTGGAGGTGATTCTTGAAACTTTTGCTGCTCTGGTAGCCATCCCCTCTCACTGAAGATGAAGGTCATCATTAGTGACAGACCTATCCATCTCACTTTAGCTTTCCTGTTGCTTTATAATCTCTAGTCTTGGGCTAGTAGGACCCTATTGTCTTTCATTTAGAGAAAAAACCTGTTTGTTCCCTGCTGATTGATGATAATGCAAGCAGTTCGTCCAAGGGGCTCAGTTTGCTTTCAGAGGCAGGGAAGAGGAGCAGAGAACAACTGTGACATAATGTCTTGTGTACTTCTCCAGGTCAGAAACATATATCTTCTCCATCTGTCCCAGCCATGTTCTAGGCATTGATGTACACCTCTGGGCTCCGGAGTCTATCCAGGCAGAGGATGGTGTCTGCAGCCTGATTCTGGTGCAGGACCAGGGCACAAGATGCAGCGGGACTCACCTTCATCAGGTCACGGTGGTGCTCCAGCACGCTGCAGGTGGTCTGCCAGGTGTCCTGGTAGCACTCCCAGGGGTCCACCCTGCAGGAGCACAGTGAGGCAGCAGCATTAGTTGGTGGCCGCTGCCTTTATGTCCTCACCACACCACCTCCTTCCTCCAAACCTTCCACCCAGCTCTCTCTAGTAGCTTCATCCCTCCATTCCCTGTCCTGGAGTGGGAGAGAACCTGAACGTGTGCCCATGCCCAGACTCCTCCATACTCTTAACTCCTGATCCCCTGGGCTCGGATATATCTGCGTGTAGTGTGATCTTCCTGATGGCATTACTGGTTCCAGCTCACATGTGGGCTTTCGTGGACCAGGGATTGCTGCTGTGTAGCCCCAGCACCCCCTCCCTGCAGTGGTCTTTGTCACTCACCGGATCCAGTCGGAAGATTGCACAGCCAGCTGGCACATGGTCAGGCGGTGCCGGCTGGACACCAGGCCCTGGAACAGTGAAACTGAGGATTAAAAGGAGGCAGTGCATAAAGATTATCTGAGTTCCTTGTTTCTGGATAAGAAGTATTCCTGCCTTTCAAAGCTGAAGGTCTCAGTGTGGTTACTGGGGTATGGTGGGTCCAGGCCCAGGGGTGGCTTTTCCGGTTGAAATTTCTGCATCTCACAAGAGAGGAGCAAAATCTCCTTTCTTATTTTAGATTTTTTTCCTCTTCAGAATAAAACTCATTTGTATTATAATAAGAACTGGCTTTAAAATCATTTAACCAACACAGCCTCAAAAAATGACCCCCATCATTTTGGATGGTAGCATTTCTCTTTCCTTTCTGGTTTTATCTGGTTGCAGGCTCTCACTGTAAGTTTTGTCTGAGGACTGCTGGTTTTATCCCTCACCATCTTCTTGGAGGCTTTCTTGTGGCTTTTCAATGCTTGACATTGCACATACAAAGAAGAGATAACAGGAACAACTCACCGTCTTCCCATAGGAATCATGAACTGGTGAGACAATGCCACCGATGACGATGAACCGTCCAGTCTTGTGCAGATACTCACGGGCTCTCTCTAGAGGAGAGCAAGAGGGGATCAGTGCATTAACCCATTCCATCAAGCCCCACAGAACTGGCTTTATGGCTTTGCCAAATGCTGTTTGAGGGTTTCACCTCCAGCTTCATATGGCCATCACCTGCCTTGCCCTAAAAGCTGAACCCTCAGCTGCCAGTTGCGAATCTGGTATTTTTCACCACCCCCCAAAAATAGAGAATCCTAAGGGCTCTATCATGTTCATCCTCATCCTCCTCACTGGCTTTTCTTGCCTTCTGCATGGCTTGGGTGCAGCAGGAGAGCTGGAGGAACATTTTGAAAGCAAATAAGACTGGCCAGCCTGCATGGCTGAGATGTGACAGTGGAGTGTGGACATGTGTGCTGCTCATCCAAAATGCTGGATGGGAATGGATGACAGCAGCACAGGGAAAAGTGTTCTGTTTTAGTCTAGATTTCAGCGGAACAACCCTCAGTGCTCTGGGACAAGGTAGAGAAACATCTGCAAGGGTGTCAGCCCTAGAGGCTGATATGGGACTGGAGATGAGGAGGGAGGCCATTTGTGTTTTGGGGTTGCTTTTGTTGTGTGAGCTGGAGTGATCAGGAAAGGACACAGTGTGCAGCAGGAAGGGAGGGAATTGGAGCAGGGATTGTTCAGTCATCTCTGAAAGGGGCTAGTAGAGATGCTGAGCACTGACCTTCCTGAAGACCCAAAAATACTGTGGAAAGGATTTATGGAGAAGGAGGGCACGTCCTGGGCTCTTGTGGCAGATCCAGAGGAACCCAGCTGAACTCAGGAGGTGATGCATGAAGCCAGGATGCAGACAAATACTTCCTTTGGGACAAATAGCACCCCAAGGTGTGCTCATGTACCTGTGTCTCTATCTAAAGCCACTTTTCTTCGTTTTCATTGTGCAAACAATAACCCACGTAGAACTGCTTGGGCAAAATTATTGTGTCCCCTCAAGTTTTGACATGCATAAAAAGGACTATTGTTCACAGAAACAGCTGTGGGGCACTTGCAAGTCAAGAATGGCACTTTGATTACTGTGGACTTTTGTTTCCTGAGCTCTGAGCAGCCCTGGGACATCCTGTGAGACATTCGTTAGCCTTAATGCACCTCCTAGACTCACCCTAAATCCTCTCTCTGGCTTTACTCCCAGTTGTTCTCCGTGCATGTCAGCATCCAGAGAAATATAAATGGGGTTAAATAATTCAATTTGTGTGGTGGAGCAAGGAGAAAATCATGAATGCCTGAATTAGACATACCTAAAACTGTCCTGCCTGCCTTTGGAATCCCGAGCTTGAAGGTGTTAACACCAGCAGTTTAGTTTGAATCCTTTTCTCTTTTTCCCATCTTTGCTGGGTATTCCTCTGCCTTTTGGGATCCATGTGGAGCATCTTCCTCCATCAGTGGCTCTCACTGACCCAGCTCAACCCTGTGGTATTGGGTCACCAAGGGGGAGAAAATGGGTTGGACAGGGTGTTGTAGAGGAGTAGAGGTACTGGATGGGATTTCTGGGAGGTTGTTCCCTTTTGTGCATGTTGAGGTGAGCACCCATGGTACTGATGGAAACAGCAATGACCAAAGGGCATTCCTGAGGTTGAAGGTTACTGTTCCTGGGAGCACACTCCCATCCCTTTATTTGCAGCTATACTAGGTCAGTGCTATTGCATAATTATTGCTATGGGTGGTATAAATCACGTACATAAAAACAGCCTATGCAGAAGCTTGAGAGCCCCTTGTGCCTGCTGAGGACTTCCAGAAACCCTGAACCAGTCCCCCAAAAGCATAAAAGGAATCACAGGGGAAGAGTGGCAGCTTGTCCCTCTTGGGTGCTCTTCGTGTGCTGCTAGTGAAGTTAATTGCCTTCCCATCACTACCTTCACAGTTAATTTTAATTGACCAGAAAGGGGAAAAAAGTCTTCTTTTATTCTTTTTTTTTTCTGAACGTGACCTTTCTTTCACAGGAGCTGTGTCCTGGTACCTCTTACAGATCTTTGAAAAAAGACATCAGAGAATAAACATCTTGTGATTAAAATGGAAAAAAAAAAAAAAGAAAGAAAGAAATTCACTAACAAAAAAATGTTATTGATTTTTAAATTAACACATCCTCTCATTATCCCTGCTTTGCTCTGGCTTGATTTTTCCTTGCCTAGAGAAGATTGAAGTCAGTGATCTGTCACCTCCAAGCCTTCCCATTCATGTACAGCATCTTTATAACATTTACTTTGAGGACAACGAAACAGTTCATATGTTATCTCTGCTTCATGGCTGTAAAGGTGACCAGTGCTCTTAGTTGGCCTTGAGTTTTTGGTGGCCAAATCCAGCAGTTGCAGGCACATATCGGGAATATGAGATAGAAGATGAATATCAGGGGGCAGAACACAAATACCAGGAGACAGAACGTAAAGGCCAGGATAATGATGGGGACCTGGGACAGGTGGCTTTAGGGTGCTATAAAATTGCAGAATTGGTGCTTGCAGCATCTCGATACATCGGTGCTATAATCACAAGACTGCATTAAAGCTTTGTGTTTTTTAGCTGATTTGATTTTCTTTGGCTGAATTACTCTTCAGTACATAGATAGGGAAAGCTACAGGCAGCTGTAGCCACGCCTGTCCAAACATAAGCTTATCCAGCCCTGAGTATCATCTTCTGCACAAGGCAAGACAAAATTACTTTAGATTTTCTAAGAGGAGATGATGCCTCCCGCCATGGAGTGGTCTTCCAGCCCAAGGGTAGCAGTGCTGTGCATTACGTGGGGTTAAACTGAGTCACTCTGTGCCAACCCAAGTGTTATTTTCTGGATTTGGGGGGTTGGAAATGGGATGCTGGATTTGGTGGGACATTGCTTTGAACATTTAGGGTTGCTCTGCTGTTGCAATGCTTTCTCCAAACCCCCAGGCCATTCCACACTCAGAGCTTTTCTAAATAGAACCTCTAGTAATTTTAATGTAAAATATTCTGCTTTTGGAGACCAGGTTGAAGACTCCTTTGTGCCATGGTGGTGCCAAAAACAACTCAGTAGTGTTGCATTCCTCTTCCCATTTGTATTCCTTATGGTCAGCTGTTTGTGCATATCCTAGCCTTATCTCTCTACTTGTTCAAAGATTTTTGCCTGGGAAAAATATCTTTTTGTTATGGTTAAGGATTACTTGTTTCCCTTTTTGGTTAGTGCTGAAGGTTATTATTTTGGGTTAGGGTTGGGGTTTAGGGCTAGCTATTTGTGCTCGGGTCAAGGGTTACCCTTTTGGGTTAGGATTAAGGGTCAAGGATTATCCTTTAGGATTAGGGTGAAGGGTTACCATTTGGTGTCAGGGTTAAGGGATGCTGCTTACCAATTTGCAATAGGTTTAAGAGTTACACTTTTGGGTTAAGGTTTAGGGTTACCAATTTTTGTTTACTGTTGAGGATTATCCTTTTTGGTTAGAGTCAATAGTTAACCTTGTGTGTTAGTGTAGAGACTCAGTATCTGAATCCCAGTTCCTTTGGTTTTCTGGACTGTTGCCTTTGTGCTCAGCCTGGTGGCAATGTTTCCAAACCAACAGCTTTGCTTACATTGGGCTGGCGTGGGAGAAGTGGGCTGGGCTGAAATGTCCCCAGCCCAACCTTCCTCCCTTCTGCTGTGGAAGCATTTTGTGTGTTTTTGGCACTGCCAAAGTTCTGCAAAATGATGGTGAGGCAGAAGTGATCTCAGGATTCTACAAAAACAATAAACTGTTTTGTCCAGATCGCATAAAAATAATTTAAAAATCCAGCTTCCCTGCTAGGAAATCACTGCTTATTTAAGAGATGTTTCTTTTTGGTGATTCTAACTGAGCATATTTAATCGTAACACTTCTGCTCCATTGGTGCTCCTCCAACACCTAAACTGCTGTGAATGCAATGAAGTATTCCTTGCACATCATTTTTCAAGGTGTGAATTCAAATGCCTTTGTATCTGATTCACACGCACCCCCAGGAGTTCCTTTTTCTCCTTTTTCTTTACAATTGTTTGTTTATTCATTTTTTGCAGAGGAGGAGATGCAGCCCATGGGATGCTATGGGGACATTGCTGCAAACCCACAGGTGCTGGCCCCCTGGCCAAAGTACCTCCTCCTGCAGGGTGAGTGACCCAGATACACAAGCATGATGCTTTACCCTTCTAAATCCTGCCAGGCAAGGTGCCAGAAATTATTCTCAGCCTAATTGAGCGACGTATATAAATATGTATATGACTCTGATTGCCAAATCAGGGGTGTGTTTGTGGCTGCATCCATTTGGGCCTTTAAAAATGCTGAAAAAATGAAATTACCATGGCAGCAAGCTGGGATAGTTATTGAAGCTGAGGTGTGGGACAAAACCACTGTCCCTCTGTCTCTAAGCTGCTGCCAGAGGGGCTCAGACCCCTCAAAGCTGTCCTCATCCTCATCACAGAGCCTGGCTCCTCTGCCCTGGCTTTTGGTACACCCCAGGAGCTGCAGCTAGTCCCTGAGGGCCAGGATGACGCTTCTGCTACAGAAACAAGCCCTGGCTGCCCTCCAAGGAGAGCTTCCCTTTCCAAAGAAGCAGGAGGAGGGGGAAGAAATATCCCATTAAGCCCCATAATGCTTAATGATTTTCATCTCCAAGCTAATTGCTCTGTTACACTTCCCCCCCCCCCACCCTGTTAGTCCATAGCCGCATCTAGGCATCACAGAAATAAGAAAATTGGAAGGGACCCTCATGCTAAATGGCTTCAGTTGTTGCTGCTCTTTTCTTTTAATGGCTTTTTGTCGGCACAAAAAAAGAAATGGCCAGCAAATGCCTTGAGAACAGAGCTGGAGGCTGAGCTTTTAAAGCCCGTAAGCCCAGCTAGATGCCCCACCAGTGCCCAGCTGCCTGAGGGACAACAAGGGAACCCACTCCAACACCATCTGCTCATCATTCCCGGCTTTGGGAAAGAAAAGTGAAATTAGAGGATTAAAAAAAAGAGAGAGAGAGAGAGAAGAAAAGGAAAAGGGTGAAGGCTGAGTCAGTTCACAGCAATCTGTGGCCTAGA